AGGGCTGGAACTGGGTGATTCACTCGGGCTAGAGCTGGGGCTTGAACTAGGAGACTCACTGGGGCTGGAACTGGGAGATGCACTAGGTGAAGCAGAAGGGCTTGCACTTGGAGATGCACTAGGTGACGCAGAAGGGCCAGCACTTGGAGATGAACTAGGTGAAGCAGAAGGGCTTGCACTTGGGGATGCACTAGGGGACTCCGATGGGCCAGCACTGGGTGATTCACTTGGTGAAGAACTGGGACTCTGACTGGGACTCTCGCTAGGGCTTGAACTAGGGGAAGAACTGGGGCTCTGACTGGGGCTTGTGCTTGGACTCTCACTGGGCGAAGTGCTGGGTGTGGCACTGGGACGTTCACTTGGAGAAGAACTGGGGCTCTCACTTGGTGAAGAACTTGGGGATTCACTGGGAGATGTGCTGGGAGTACTGCTGGGGGATTCACTTGGCGATGCACTTGGTGCTGAACTGGGTGAAGTACTAGGACTGCTGCTTGGACTGGCACTTGGCAACTCACTAGGGGAGGCACTGGGAGACTTGCTGGGGCTGCGATACTGGGTGGTGCTGGGTGATTCACTTGGTGCTTGACTATCGGTTGGTGATTCACTGGGAACTCCACTGGGCTGTGGACTGGCTGTGGGTTCCTCGCTGGGCGATGTACTGGGGACATCGGATGGGCTGATAGAGGGGCTGGATGAAGGGCTTGTGCTGGGCGCCTCACTGGGTGCTTCACTTGGAGCCTCACTTGGTGTCACTAGGGCCTCACTGGTGCTTCACTAGGGCCACTCTCACTTGGTGCCTCACTAGGAGACTCACTGGGGCTGGCACTGGGAGAAGTGCTTGGGGTTGCACTCGGGCTGGCACTGGCGAAGTACTTGGGGTTGCACTAGGGCTGGCACTGGGCGAAGTACTTGGGGTAGAACTGGGGTAGAACTGGTGAACTAGGGGAAGAGCTTGGACTCTCACTGGGAGCACTTGGGCTTGAACTTGGTGACTCGCTTGGGCTTGAGCTAGGTGATTCACTTGGACTTGCACTTGGTGTTGCGCTTGGGCTAGAGCTGGGCGTTGCACTTGGGCTTGAGCTGGGTGATTCACTGGGGCTCGAGCTGGGGAGTGAACTCGGCAAAGAGCTGGGTGAACGGAGAAAACTGGAGTACTGGGGACGTGCTTGGGCTTGAGCTTGGTGATGCACTGGGGCTCGAACTAGGAGACTCACTGGGACTCGAACTGGGAGACTCACTAGGACTTGAGCTGGGAGATTCACTAGGGGAAGCAGAAGGGCTAGTACTCGGGGTCGCACTTGGTGACTCGGACGGGCTAGAACTGGGTGATGCACTTGGAGAGGAGCTGGGACTTTCACTAGGACTTGAGCTTGGGCTTGTACTGGGGCTAGCTGATGGACTCTCACTTGGAGTCTCACTTGGACTCACACTTGGTGAAGTACTGGTGTGGCACTGGGACTTTCACTGGGAGAAGAAGTTCACTAGCTGTCACTTGTGAAGAACTTGGGGATTCACTGGGAGATGTGCTGGGAGTACTACTGGGGGATTCACTTGGCGATGCACTTGGTGCTGAACTGGGTGAAGTACTGGGACTGCTGCTTGGACTGGCACTTGGCGACTCACTTGGGGAGGCACTGGGGACTCACTGGGGCTGGTACTGGGTGTTGAGCTGGGTGATTCACTTGGTGCTTGGCTATCAGTTGGTGATTCACTGGGAACTCCACTGGGCTGTGGACTGGCTGTGGGTTCTCACTGGGCGATGTACTGGGGACATCGGATGGGCTGATAGAGGGGCTGGATGAAGGGCTTGTGCTGGGCGCCTCACTGGGTGCTTCACTTGGAGCCTCACTGGGTGCTTCACTGGGAGATTTGCTCGGTGCTGAACTGGGTGACTCGCTGGGTGAAGAACTGGGAGACTCACTGGGGCTGGCTGTGGCGAAGACTTGGGTTGCACTAGGGCTGGCACTGGGTGAAGTACTTGGAGTTGTGCTGGGGCTTTCACTAGGCGAAGTACTAGGGGTAGAACTGGGGCTCTCACTAGGTGTAGTACTTGGGCTTGAACTTGGTGACTCGCTTGGGCTGGAGCTAGGTGATTCACTTGGACTTGAACTTGGTGTTGCGCTTGGGCTAGAGCTGGGCGTTGCACTTGGGCTTGAACTGGGTGATTCACTGGGGCTCGAGCTGGGAAGTGAACTCGGCAAAGAGCTGGGGCTTGAACTAGGAGAAACACTGGGACTGGCACTAGGGGACGTGCTTGGGCTTGAGCTTGGTGATGCACTGGGGCTCGAACTAGGAGACTCACTGGGACTCGAACTGGGAGACTCACTAGGACTTGAGCTGGGAGATTCACTAGGGGAAGCAGAAGGGCTAGTACTTGGGGTCGCACTTGGTGACTCGGACGGGCTAGAACTGGGTGATGCACTTGGAGAGGAGCTGGGACTCTCACTAGGACTTGAGCTTGGGCTTGAACTAGGAGAAGAACTGGGGCTCTCACTTGGGGTTGTACTGGGACTAGCTGATGGACTCTCACTTGGAGTCTCACTTGGACTCACACTTGGTGAAGTACTGGGTGTGGCACTGGGACTTTCACTTGGAGAAGAACTGGGGCTCTCACTTGGTGAAGAACTTGGGGATTCACTGGGAGATGTGCTGGGAGTACTGCTGGGGGATTCACTTGGCGATGCACTTGGTGCTGAACTGGGTGAAGTACTAGGACTGCTGCTTGGACTGGCACTTGGCGACTCACTAGGGGAGGCACTGGGGGACTTGCTAGGGCTGGTACTGGGTGTTGAGCTGGGTGATTCACTTGGTGCTTGACTGTCGGTTGGTGATTCACTGGGAACTCCACTGGGCTGTGGACTGGCTGTGGGTTCCTCGCTGGGCGATGTACTGGGGACATCGGATGGGCTGATAGAGGGGCTGGATGAAGGGCTTGTGCTGGGCGCCTCACTGGGTGCTTCACTTGGAGCCTCACTGGGTGCTTCACTAGGCGCTTCACTGGGTGCTTCACTAGGCGCTTCACTTGGTGCCTCACTAGGAGACTCACTGGGGCTGGCACTGGGAGAAGTGCTTGGGGTTGCACTCGGGCTGGCACTGGGCGAAGTACTTGGTGTTGCACTTGGGCTTTCACTAGGCGAAGTACTGGGGGTAGAACTGGGGCTCTCACTGGGTGATGAACTGGGAGAGGAGCTTGGACTTTCACTGGGTGATGAACTGGGCGAAGAGCTTGGACTCTCACTGGGTGAGGCACTTGGGCTTGAACTTGGTGACTCACTTGGGCTGGAGCTTGGTGATTCACTTGGGCTGGAGCTTGGTGTTGAGCTTGGGCTAGAGCTGGGCGTTGCACTTGGGCTTGAGCTGGGTGATTCACTGGGGCTCGAGCTGGGGAGTGAACTCGGCAAAGAGCTGGGGCTCGAACTAGGAGAAACACTGGGACTGGCGCTAGGGGACGTGCTTGGGCTTGAGCTTGGTGATGCACTGGGGCTCGAACTAGGAGACTCACTGGGACTCGAACTGGGAGACTCACTAGGACTTGAGCTGGGAGATTCACTAGGGGAAGCAGAAGGGCTAGTACTCGGGGTCGCACTTGGTGACTCCGACGGGCTAGAACTTGGTGATGCACTTGGAGAGGAGCTGGGACTTTCACTAGGACTTGAGCTTGGGCTTGTACTGGGGCTAGCTGATGGACTCTCACTTGGAGTCTCACTTGGACTCACACTTGGTGAAGTACTGGGTGTGGCACTGGGACTTTCACTGGGAGAAGAACTGGGGCTCTCACTTGGTGAAGAACTTGGGGATTCACTGGGAGATGTGCTGGGAGTACTGCTGGGGGATTCACTTGGCGATGCACTTGGTGCTGAACTGGGTGAAGTACTAGGACTGCTGCTTGGACTGGCACTTGGCGACTCACTAGGGGAGGCACTGGGGGACTCACTGGGGCTGGTACTGGGTGTTGAGCTGGGTGATTCACTTGGTGCTTGGCTATCAGTTGGTGATTCACTGGGAACTCCACTGGGCTGTGGACTGGCTGTGGGTTCCTCACTGGGCGATGTACTGGGGACATCGGATGGGCTGATAGAGGGGCTGGATGAAGGGCTTTCACTGGGCGCCTCACTGGGTGCTTCACTTGGGGCCTCACTGGGCGCTGCACTAGGAGATTCGCTCGGTGCCGAACTGGGTGATTCGCTAGGTGAAGAACTGGGAGACTCACTGGGGCTGGCACTGGGCGAGGTACTTGGCGTTGCACTGGGGCTCTCACTGGTGAAGTACTTGGAGTTGTGCTGGGGCTTTCACTAGGCGAAGTACTAGGGGTAGAACTGGGGCTCTCACTAGGTGTAGTACTTGGGCTGGTGCTTGGGCTCTCGCTAGGAGAGGAACTTGGGCTGGAGCTTGGGCTCTCACTAGGAGAGGAACTTGGGCTGGAGCTTGGGCTTTCACTGGGCGAAGTACTTGGGCTAGTGCTTGGTGATGCACTTGGTGACTCACTAGGGCTGGTACTGGAGTTTCACTGGGACTGGAACTTGGTGATTCACTTGGGCTGGCTGGGTGGTGATTCACTGGGACTGGAACTTGGTGACACACTGGGACTGGCACTGGGTGATTCACTGGGGCTAGAGCTGGGTGATTCACTGGGGCTGGTGCTAGGAGACGCACTGGGACTAGAACTAGGAGACTCACTGGGACTGCTGCTCGGTGATTCACTGGGGCTAGAGCTGGGCGATTCACTGGGGCTGGAGCTTGGCGTTGAACTTGGTGTTGAACTTGGGCTTGAACTGGGAGACTCACTAGGGCTAGAACTGGGGCTGCTGCTAGGAGAGGCACTTGGGCTGGAACTGGGTGATTCACTGGGACTGGAGCTGGGCGATTCGCTGGGTGATTCGCTAGGGCTTTCACTGGGAGATTCACTAGGACTTTCACTAGGACTGGTGCTAGGCGTCTCACTTGGACTAGTGCTGGGCGAGGTACTGGGTGTCTCACTTGGGCTGCTGCTTGGGGAAGTACTGGGTGTAGCACTTGGGCTTTCACTTGGCGATGCACTAGGGCTGCTGCTTGGTGATGTACTAGGTGTGGTACTGGGGCTGGCGCTGGGAGAAGTGCTTGGGGTGGTGCTTGGTGAGGTACTAGGACTTTCACTGGGTGAAGAACTTGGGCTCTCACTGGGCGACTCGCTGGGAGTGGAACTCGGAGAGATACTCGGACTAGCACTGGGGGATTCACTGGGGGACTCACTGGGGGTAGAGCTTGGTGATGCACTGGGGTCAATACTTGGAGCGGAACTGGGGTCAATACTTGGAGTGGCACTTGGGAGTGAACTAGGCAATTCACTGGGATTTGCACTTGGACCTTCACTGGGCATGCCCGATGGCAAACTACTAGGGCTCTCCGAAGGAAGACTACTTGGCATCAAACTAGGCGATGTGCTTGGAACCGTGGAGGGAGAGTTGGTCTCGACACACCTGCACCCAACTTCAAAGTCAAACCAACCGAACCACTTCTCTGAATCCCCAGAATGTTCGAATGCAAAGACATCAAGTTCTGTTCCCGGGATGAGTGCTCCATCTTGCACCTGTCCCACAGTGGAGTGAGCGACCACATGGAACGTGACAAGTTCCTTGTCGAGGTCACACTCGTACTTGAGGTCGATGGTGAATGACACTTTTTCTTCTCCTTCCCAATCACAGGCATAATTCTTGAACTTTCTAGTATCTGGAGCACCTGATTTCTTTTTTGGCATTTGGGTCAAGGCATCTTCCTCGCCAGTATCCCTTCCCACCCAAAGCTGTGAACGAATCAAGGCCCACTTATCGCTGGACACAAATGTGACTTCCAATTTCTCATCGATGACCTCGACACAGACTTTACCAGCCTCCATGGACTGCATGTCTCCTCCTGCCACAATAGCATGGCATGCAGGAGACACCGGCGACTCCAAATAGACTTCTGGGTACCCCGCACAAGTTTCGGGTTGCACAGTCCTGTCGGTTGGTTTGCCGCAGTCACAATCAATTTCAAAGTCGAACCATCCCACCCACGTACTAGCGTATCCCACGCTGTGTTCGTAAGCAAAGGCATGAATCTTGTGATGCAAATCGGGCTTTCCAGTTGCCGGAATGATCTTGGCTACTTCGACATAGGCAATCATGGAAAACTCTTCCATCCCCGTTTTCCCCTTGGGACACAATGGTTCCTCATCGTCAAAGTCGGCCTCAAATCCAAATATGGGAAGACCCGTAGAGTTGCAAAAGAAATAATCAAAGGAATCAAGATCAGCAGATCCATCGCTAAGACGAGGGACATGGGTCACGTCCTCCCCAAACCAGAACTTGTTGGTGAGCAACAAGTAGTTTTCGGCAGCGGTAAAGGCCACGGACAACTGAGGAACATCCTCGGGTCCATTGACGACTTCGACACAGACAGTAGCGACCTCGACGGCCTCGTCTCCTTCACTCATCATGGCATGACACAACTTGCCGGAATGATCCATAGTCGCCACACAGATGGAAGGAGGATTGTCGGTTCCCGTGGGAGCCGCACTCACGTCGGTGGTAGGAGTGGGGCTGGGCACTTCACTCGGTCCGCCACTGGGAGAATCCGTGGGTTCAGCCGTAGTAGGCGCGCTGAAGATACCCCTGTTGCGTATGGCTTCGTCGGCGACGGTCATGGTTGCCATAAGGGCGACCATGACAGCCACGAAAGGACGAATCATCATCGTCTTTTTGATAATCGTAGAAATCATCTTGATTGGCTTGGATGTTGTTCTGATTGTTGTTGTATAATTACTTCTATACAGTTGTCGTTCTGAAGTGGTTAGCGTAGCGTAGTAACTTGGCTTGCACTCAAAACTCAAAAAGGACCGTCTAAAGAAACAAAAGAGAGTTGTTTCAAAAACAGTGAGGAAGGAGGCTTCCTTGCTGGATGATGGAGGGAGGTGCCAAAAACCAGCAGCTCGAGAAAAGACGACCACAAATACAAATCCTGGTGCTTCCGAGGACAGCCTGATCGTATTCTCTTCTTGGAAAAAGATGCCACCTTTTGAGAAGCCTAAGTGCCACGACGTCGTTGGACGCATTAGGGTTGAGGAGTCTGAAAACAATGACTCTGAGTGGCCATTGTGTTAAATCCATTGGTCGACAGTCATGGATTTTGCTGCCACCAAGTTCAGCACTGTAGAAGACCGGTACTGTATAAAAAGCAGTCATCTATGACCACTGGTGTAAAGAGAAGTCATTATGACCCAGCACTAGAAACCCAGTGGAAATTATTAAAAAGTATATGTGTCGATGAACTGGCAACAAGTAGTTTGCTTCCCCAATCCCGTACGCCGGTCAGACGACACTTCTTTGGCAACAGAATTCTGCTTTGATGGTTTTAGTACTCGAGTAGTTAGTTGAGGTAAAGATTGAGGTTAAAGTTATGCTACCTGGTACTACTAATATTTTTAGGAAAAATTTATTACTGTACCACATCTACCCGGGCACCTGTCAGATGGCTACCGTACCGGTACTGTACAGTATGCCTTCCGTCTTGGGGGGATTACCAAGCGCAAGCTGACACATCTCCAGCAACAATTTGAATGTTTGTAAAACCGGAAGCAAATAATGCTACCAGGTACCATGCAGTACCGGTACTAGCTACATGTGGCTAGAATGCTTCAAGAATTTCTTTCCAAAAGGTGCATCATTATTACTTATGCTTTGGGGTGGAGTTCTGGATGTCTGGACTCAGGCTTTGGAAAACCTAAAAAGATCTTACAGTACAAAGGTGGGTTTTCTTGTGCTGCAGCCCTGCAGCTTCACCTTTTGCAGTTGGATGATGGGAAAACACAAAGCAGGATCGCCTGGTGTAATCGACACAACGAGAAAAAAGGGGGGGAAGATGTCGGTGACAAGTGGAACGAAGCCTGAAAGCAACATGAGGTGAAATAGGCAGTCTGGTAGAGCACAGAGTTGTTGAACTGGCGCCAACAAGCGTGTCCACCATGAAGCCCTTCTGTTCTTTGCTGCTATCGGATGGCTGGGCTTTCGAGCCCTATAGAGACCCTGCCAGGGATAAGTGGACAGGACACAAACTTTCTCCTCGCACTGGCTGTTCACTACATTCTGTTGCAAATAGTAGAATCCAAGGTTTTCGGTTATTGCCTTGTCATCGCGATGTATTCGTATTGCGTCCTCCACTCTCAGGTTTTTGCTCCATCGGGTTTATCAAATGCAGCAAAAAGTGAGAATACTAAATAATTTACTGGGATTGACAGAGTCAAGCCTTCAGGCTGGAGTTCTGGTGCCGAGTGCTACAAACAGGATTTAGGCAAGGTCACCAGCAACTGCCAGAAACCGGGCCCAGAATCCTGACATCGGAGATGGGCGGGCGTATTGAAGGCGCGTTGTCCGTGCACGGTCTTTGCGAGCCTCCCATCAAAACAAGAGAAACGCGAGCAGCATGCACCCATCGACGTCGACCGGCAGTCGAACAGGGGTGAGTGTTCACTTCTCGTATTGATATTCGTATGGGATTTGCTGGCACATTGCGTATCTTTAGCAAACTACCCGACTACCGGTAGCTGGCTCATGTTCACTATCTTCACCTTCCGCCCTGCCCAGTCTCGGACATCTGCTTTGTTTCAGCGCCAAGTAGACACAGATTCGTGCAACAGGTCAAAAGTGACACTCAAGCAGTTCTTGTCACATCACGCTCTATGGTCCCGTTGCAAGGGAACAGGGAAGCGTCGCCCATTGCCAACAGTGCAACGAGGCTGTTTCGGGGTGACAGCAATTCCGTCGTGTAGTCATAGCCCCGTTCGTTTCGTTTGAGCAGCAACTGTAACTCCAGCTTCGCAGGCACACGCGCGAGGATCTGAAAAACATACCAAGGCGAGGGGCAAAAATAGGAGCCATTGCAGAAATATGCAAGGCTTCGGTTGTGATCTTCCAATATTTGTATCAGTGTTTGACATTGATCATCTCTGAGGCGCCAGGGGACGTCCAGACGTTTCAAGCTTGTGTTTGCCACGAGAGTTTCAATGAGTCGACTTGAGCCATTCTTGAAGTCGCGGATTGGATCCCAGTGATGATTCCACGGGATACTTGCGGAGTACCTGCTGTGCAAAGAAAGAGTCGCCAGCTTGTTGTGTCCTAAAACTTCCACTAGGGATTCAGTTACATCCACCGTGTCATCACCGCCCTCCCAACAAAGTAGTTCCAGTGATGTGACATACGGAGATGGGGCCAAAGACATCCATGCAATTTCTTCTGCTGTGCCAACAATCCTGGATGCCGGGTTTCCGTAGGCCCCAACAACTTCCCAGCATTTTCGCCAACTTTGCTTCAGCATTCGCAGTACCCCCAATGTCAATTGTAGTTGACTGGCACTTCACTACACCCAAAGGTGTGGCTCCAGCCAAGAAATGCACAATGTCTTTTTGAGCGCTTCCATCGTGGCGGAATCAGTAATGTGTGATATGTTCCCGAAGTGCCCCAGGGTCTCTGCGTGAAATATCCATGCATTTTAAAAGCCAACGTTTCTTCGCTGAGTATCTCATGTACATGTAAACCATCTGTGTAAATGTTCCAAGTTTGAAATGGCTCCACACGGTACCAGGTACTGCCTCTTGTTGCCCATCTTGAGTATTTCATTAGGAAATGCCATGGCAAGCAGAGGAACAAAACCGGGTTCCAGGCCCGGCGTACTAGCACACATCTCACACAAGCCATGAACAAACTCCTCTTTGGCTGGGCCGTGTTCTTTGATTGATGCTTGAATGCGTTTTGGATTTCACATGTAGTTGCCTTGACAATCACCAAGAGTTCCAAGTGGGGTGGTACGGTACCTTGGGATCAGGGGCAACAAACAGGGGATCATCAGGAGCTCCGAAGGGCTTGGACTTGCAGGATTCATCCACGGATTGAATTTCTGGGCAACAAGCTCAGCGCGGTATTACAAAAGTATCATCTCTGATCGAATCTGTTGTCTAGCTAGAGCTCTAGCTAGTCTGAAACTATGGGAAAGAGGGACTCGTTCACTCCATCAAGGGACGCGCCAAGCCACATCAATCACCGAACCATCACAGTTTTCAAATGGTCTATGAGGCACCATGCCTGAAAGTTTTTGTTTTCTGTTGATAAGCTTATTAGCGAGACATGGATTGTTTTCTCGAAATGAAGAGCACAAAACTCCGCACTCCTTCTATCTAGAACCTCATAGTGGCCCCACTTGAGAAGACGGCCTATGCTGGCTCCCCTGCTTGTAATGGCTTTGGTCTTCTCTCCTGCTTTGTGACCCTTCAACTGATTGTTGTCCCCACCCAATCGCAACGGATAAATCACCGCTCTTCTTCTTCTTCTTCCAAATAGGCATTGTGGCTGTCCCCCAACAGTATGTCGTCGCCTCCAAAGTAAACCCCGGATTTGACTGCCGCCAGTTTCCGTCTGGACCCCAACCACATTCTGACACCCACAGCTAGAAGTAATCCAAGCATTCCAAACGCGGCAATCATGTAGATGCCTCGTTGGATGGTAAATCTCGAACCAGAACGTCCAGCACTCTGTCTCGCCGGAGACGCCCGTGTTGTTGACGACTCGACCTTCCTAACGCTCTTTACTTCAGAGAACACATTTTCGGGTGGCAAGCCTCGAAACAAGCGTATGCAGGAAACCAATTCATATCCAGAAAGCGCTTCTCCGATGGACACATCAAGGGACTCCGGCTTGGGGATCACTGCGGTGCCCAAGAAGGTCGCAGAGCCTCCATAGTCACTGAAGGCCCCGCTGCTGGGGCTGATGCCTGTTTGGGGTCCCTGATCAATTTCTCCAAACAGGTATATGCTTGTGGACTCGGGGCCGTATTTTCGTCTGAAGTAGTTGTCAATGCACTGCTCGGTGACGTCTGCGGCATCTTCAAAGTGTTCTTTGGTAGGTGTTCCGTCGCGGGGAATGTCATAAAGAATTCCAAATGGGAGATATTCAACTCTAATCTGTGCGATTGTGTGCTGCCTAGCGCCGACTTCTTCATCCGTTCCGTTTTCCATCGGGGTTACCGTCGGCTCATCAGTTACGACATCCTCAGCAGGTGCGGCAACAGGAGCCATCACATCATCAGGGGCGGCAACCGGGGCCATCTCATCATCAGGACCAGCAACAGGGGCCATCCCGTCATCGGGACCAGGAACACCAGGATCTGCAACGGGGGCCATACCATCACCAGAATCAGTATCAGTCGATGCGGGAGCCTCGTCGCCTGAATCAGGTCGCATTACCGGTTGGAAGTCTCCTGCAGCGGAAGGGACGGGAGTCATTTCTCCGAATGGAATACTGGTAGGTTCTGTTTCGTTCCCCATCTCACTCCTTGATGTAGATGCTAGAGACGATGCATTCGTGAGTGCCGCACTGGCCAGACAAACTAAATGAAACAGGTAGCAGAGAGGACAAATCCAACATCTCCGGAACTTACATTTGTACTTCATACCATAACCATAATATACCTTTGCTTTTGACCCCTTCGAGGACCTCCTGTTTGTCGTATACTTCCCCTTGCTCCGCTTGGATTTGGAAGCGCACCCAATGTCGCTATCTGCTTCAACGACTTCATAGTAGTTGTGCTGGCCCCTTTTTCGCTTCCTGTTGCCCATACGAAGATTGCCGCCTGTTTTCCCTTTGCTGCAGGATGATGACTCCTCGCTGTGATAGTGATACCCTTTGGGCCCCCCACTGCCTCCGGTGGAATACGGATAGTGATGATGTTCATCGTCGCTGACCGGCACCTGGGTTTCCCCGGCTTCTTCGAGAATTAAGCCGTGAAGCTGTTCGTGGACAGTATCAGGAATGGGTCCCAGGAGTCCCTGATGGATCTCGTGATGCACCTGTTCGTACTCATTATCATATTCAGGAGCCTCTTCTGCTTCGTGAATCGTTTCTTTGTGTATGTCTCCATGCAAGATTTCCTCCTCCACAGCATACTGGTCGTAATATGTGCTTTTCCTTCCTTTTGACTTGTGGTGACTCTTGGAGTATCCGCCGTGCTTTCTGGCTCCTGACTTCTTTCCACCCTTCTTGTGCTTGCCATTTTCACCAGTGTAAGTGTACACAATCGATTCTTCTGTTTCTGGATGGTACTCTGCATGTTCAGTCTCTGCATCGTGGGGATGGTGTTCGTCGTAATAATTGTGGTAATAGTCAAGGTATTCGTCGGTATGATGCTGATGGCGCTAAAAAGGGAAATATATGGTCAGATTTTTACAACACAACAAAATCAAGCAAGTGAAGTTTCCCAAGCTAGCACGACCGTGCCCTCTTTCCACTTACCTGGCTCTTGGAATTGTATTGGTAGTAATCATCGCCTTGGTGTGCAGCATAATATTCCTCGCCATAATAGTAGTCTCGGTGATGTTCTTCTTCCTGGGCTGGGAGAGAGGTGACCGAATAGGTGGGAAAGTGCGTCGCATATTCATCCTCATCAGTAGAACTGTCTTCATGCTCATGGTCATTGTACCCATAGAATCCGGACAGATATTTCGGGTAGTGTTCAGGATCGTGCTTGTACGAGTTTGTGCGCGAAGAATGTCGTCGATCGCGCCTTTGAGGTAGTTGTACCACTTCCTGGTGATTCCGCAACCGTCTTCGCTGCTTGGCTGATTGACCGTGTTGTTTTGGCTCAAAGCTTTTGACTCCTCCGTACACTCCGTCAGGTAGGAACAGAGTGAACACCAGCCATATCGCCGCAACGAGGCGCGCCCCGTTGTGGAGGTGCATCATGTTTCTCTTGCAACGTTTATTGTAGTCTACGAACTGAACCCTTCGCTCTCTTTCTCTCGAACTCTCTCGAACTCACTTTACTGCTGTTGATGGCGGACAACTTGCTTGCTCAAAAGATGCTTGTCAGGACCGAATGCCACTCCTTTTGGGCTGTTTTGCTTCACTTGCTTGTTTGTTTGGGTCGTTGACCTTCGACAAAAATTTCTGAAGCACGAGCGTTGGGATCGAGCCGAGTCGACCACTCCCACTCTTCTCGTCACTCCCGCAATAAGATTTATGGCTCGAACTTCGGAGGATCCAGTCACTCTTGCTTGTTCATCAATCGGACCGGTAGATCATGCCTATCCTCACACATCGTGACAAAAAATGATAAAGAGCTGGGGGTTTTAGACTATTAATAGTAGAGTAGAGGAGTTATCTACGGAAGCCGGCTATGTAACTGGCTACGTAACTGGCTAGGCCAAGCAGCTGGAGGCGGGCTATTACCGGATCAATCACTCATTGATCTAGGAAAGGACCCGGTAGCAGTCGGCAATTCTAAAGCAATGAATGAATAATACGAGGAAAATTTGGAGGATGCTCGGATGGATTGTGTGGTAAAGAGGCGACCCTCGTACCAGGGGCATCATGATTGCACGTTAAAGTTAGCAACAACACACAACTACTAGTACATGAATGTTTTGCTTGGTAGCTTAGTTTGTACATACTTGCAATGGTTTCTGGCTATAGAATAACTCTTTGGAAACCCCAAAGCCGTCCCTTGGTTTACTCTGATTTTCGTTGCTTGACCTTCTTCTCCATCTTTGGGGACAGAGTCCAAAAGATTCAGCATCTCTTGGCCATGATGGCTCCTTGGACGCACCCATCTACATCAATCGCATCTTTGAAATCTTTGCGGCCCACACTACAAAGGGTTGTTCTGTGGACATTATCATGCCACCAGCAGAGAGAAACTCCTTAGAGCAGGCTGTCATTCACAATGGAAGTGGAACCAATGCCCTCTATGAGACCTTGGGGAAAACAAGAGTTCAAGATGCCAAGGCAACAGATGAAAGTGACAGACTAGCCATTTTGAGAAAGGTGGAGTCTGATGTGGGATACCAGAGACTGAACAGTCAAGTCAACAACTTGCTAAGACAATGGATGGTGGATGTCCTCACTCATCGAGTGGAAACAAGAGAAAACACCAATGACATTGATTATGTCAGGCTCTGCAATACAGTGGGGCTGATTTTTCGTCATGGTCAGCATGAAGAAGCAAGAAATTCAGCCATGAACCTTCATCAGAGTGCTCTGATTGTTTGTGAAACCACTCTAGGTAGGAATCACCCCGAAACTGCGGAAACCCTGTTCAATATTGGTTGCTTCCTCTGGAGTCAAATGGGAGACTTTGATGATGCTTTGTTAAAGAACAATGAAGCTCTTAGCATTCAATTGGATTCGTTGGGCAGAAAACATCCTTCAGTTGCCACCACCTACAAGTATATTGGACATTTCTGTATGCAAAGGGAGACTTTGATGGAGCTTTGGCCAAGTACCAGGAAGCTCTTGACATTCAAGAGTTGGCAGTGGACAAGAATCATGCTGATACAGCCATTATCTACAACAATATTGGGTCGGTGTTGAGAGCCAGGGGTGGCATTGAAGGTGCTCTATCTAACTACCAGGCATCCCTTGAAGTGGGGGAGGCAGTGTTGGGAAAGAATCATCCTCATACTGCATTTGCCTACAACAACATCAGTTCTGTTCTCTGCGACAAGGGTGACTTGGATGGAGCCTTGTCCCAATATCAAAAATGTCTGAACATCTTGGAGCCACAGCTAGGATCGGGTCATCACAAGACACAGCTTGTTCTGAGCTCCATTGCCGTCTGTAAGGCAAGAGGTGCTCAAGTGAATTGAGAATAGAAGAATCGCTACTTGATCCAACGAATTTTTGACACAGCAATATCCCTTGGCTTCATCGTGTCGCAACCAGCCAGAATAAGCGTCGGATTCGTCAATAGCGAGCTTGGGAAGGCCAAACTTGGGAATAAATGGGAGAAAAAAGGGGAAAAGCTGTTAGATCGGGCTGCAAGTGGGTGAGACTTGGTAGCGGATGGGGCACCATGGTCGCAACTTGAAGGCTGTGGCAACACCTGTAGTGGCATCTGGCTAGAACAACGTTTAGCAATGAAAAGGAATGAAAAGCCCCGAAGGCTCCGGTTCATCCCCCCTTCATTCGCAGAGATCAAGCGCATGCGTATGGTAGTGTGGTGTGTACTATGAAGGGCTGGAAACAGAACAGTTGGAGCTGAATTTGCATCATCTTGCTGTTGCAGGGTTACTATCCAAGAGCCACTCATGTTCAAAAGACAACACGGGAGACCGATTCAATTCTACCGGAGCATACGCGATGACTCGAGCTCCCTGGACACAGAAGAGCTCACAGAAGTCACCCAGCAACAGCGAAAGGAGAAAGGGTCTTTGAACTTCCAACGCACAAACCTGTAAGTACCATCGTACCATTCCAGGATCGTGCATCGAATCGTGCATTATTAGAGTAAGGCTTCGTACACTCCCGAGTACTCTACCGGTAGTAAGTACCAGTGCTGAAACGGATGAGTGGTACCGTACTCCGGAGTATGGTTAGTCGAACCCACTTTTGAACAGGATCTGTCAGGTAGATGCGGTATTTTATATAAATCAACATCGTAATATATATCTCCTTTCCCTGAATAGTTTTCAGCGCAAGGAAAAACAACATAGGCACAGTATCGTCTCTTATTAGGGGATGAGCAAACTTGCCCATGGCTCTGTGTTGAATTTGTTAGAGCGTTTTTGTAAAAATTGTGTGCGCTAAGCCAATCTTTTACTTTGGCTGTTTTTCTCTATTGGATTAGATTGGATTGCATTGGATTAGATTGGATTGCATTGAATTACAGTTTACTATATAAATAACAGTACTATTTGGAATCCAATTCAATCCAATTCAATGCAATCCAATGCAATCCAATCCAATGCAATCCAATTAAATGTATCTTCCGGAAAAAATACGAATTTCGTCTTTTTAACTGATTTTGGCGAGTCACACTCCATTACAATACAGGGCTATTGCAAGATTTGCCCATCCCCTTAATCCACACTCCTCTCTTTCGTCAACTTGAACTTCTTCCTGTCTCTTTGAAATCGACAATGACTACTCAGTAACCTTTACTCCAGAGTGCCAGAATGATTATAAGCAGCCGGAAATCAGATACGAAGCACACGCACTTGAGAGCTCTTGTAGGTAGTAGATGCTGCCGGTATCCAACGAAAAATAGATTTAGAATAGTTTAGTTGCGAGTTGCGAGAGGTGAGAGCCCGGAACGCAAAAGCAAGAAAGCAAGGAGTAGCACCGTAGCAAGTCGTAGCAAGGTCATGGTCAGTTAGTTGCTGTGGCCAAGCAAGGCTCGGAGGCTGCTCTGTTGCCTCAGAGTATCGTCTTCTCCTGGACATTCTGGTGGCATGGTCGAAAAAGCAAACTCCACATAAGCTGAGAATTGCATCAGAGCGCACCAAGTAATTCTTCCGTCATATCTTCCTCTTGCACTACATGTACTTCGTAGCCCCTGGCCCAACAATGATCCAGCACTCGTCCCTTCCCGCCCGTTCTACCTCGAATCAAGCTTCTGAACAAGCGTTGCCCCCCATCAATACAAACCCACCGCTCCCATTGGTTTCAATTCTTCATCCGACATTGAGTACCCGCCCATTCAATCCGGCTGCAAATGCAGGGCGCAATCAGGGGCACGGCAATCCAAGGTCAATTCATGCAGTTCTCCAAGAGGCACTGAACATCATTGAGGAAATCCCGCAGGAATGGTTCGAATCCAACAACATTGGTGGCAGTGTGGCAGCAGCGGATGGTGCTGCTACTGGCACTGTAGGGGATCGTCTCTGGTGAGGCTAGCAAAGGTCGTGGGAAGCTGTGGCATCCGAGCCTTCCCCTATCTGATTGTATACTCTGTCGAATGCGTTTGTTTGCACTTTTCATACATACAAACTATAAATTCAATAGGCATGTGCAAACCTGAGTAGGTGGTACTTGCAGGCGCTTGCCTCCCACAAAATCGTGGTGGTGTTGCACTAGAATATGTGCCGGGTAAAGGGGTGCCATAATGGTGCCAACTGCATCCCTGGAGCTCCATGCAGTGCAAAGACCTTCTGTAGTTTTGGCAGAGGCAGAGCATTCAGCCCTCAGAGGTGGTGGATGAAAGTGGCAAGCCCTGGGAAACATTCCTCGCGACAAAAACGAGCAAGGGAGCTTGACGTGAGGGAGCTGTGTTGTGTCAATGGAAAGTCGAGCTGTCAATCACAATGCTGGCTGGGGAGGGCTCCAGTCTGTCAGTATTTCAGGGCTGCTCCCTTGGTACCGGTATCTCCTGCACGGCTTGGGCCAGAAACTCTCCATTCCAGCCATATATTCTAATGGGAGGTTGCCGGTACGGTACTACTGACCCAAGAACCTGAAGCTGGCTCTTTAGCGGTACAGCGGTGGCTCAGGCATGCCAGATATATCATTTTGGCGTCAGCACGGTTGCTGCATGCTTCTCTACCCTCTATCCTTCCGCCTTCTGCATGCTGCTTTTAGATTGATTGAATCGAAGAATCAGTCCAATGCAACAATGCATGCTACACAGTGTATTTCTATCTAGCTAGTGGCCAGACCATCAATGTTTTTGGTTTTGGGGGGACAAGATGCAGAGAATCCCATTTTGATTTTTACGCTGAGCAACCAAGAAGGACCAGCCAATAATTCTCGGGGCGATTTTACTTGCTGAAATAAATATCCCTTACTCACAAGTCAGCTTCAAGCCTTTGAGATAACCTTACTGGCATTGTCATAACTGGTGACTTGACGTAGGACAAGCGTTCCGTCAGAACTTTTTCGTCTTGAGTTTCTTTGTAGAGTACAGTCTTGAGGATTGGGAAGACGGAGATTCCCAACATGAGCCAATTCATTTCATACCAGTGGCCCTGTCCGGCAAACAGTGCAATGGGATATTGCATCAAGGAAACCATGGCGCAAGTTGTGAAGACAAAGCCAATCATTCGCCCCATAGTTTCGACCCCAAAGTACATGGCAACAGCATTGTTGGCTGTGGCATAAAGGAATGCCCGGAAGCAGGCAAAAATTGCAAAAGTTGCCACTTGAATAGGTAGTATCGGGAGGCAAAGAAAGATACCGAATGTCACTCCCAACAGATTGGTTACATGCATAGTGTTGAGCACACCTAGTATCCTGACAGTGTAGTCAATGGCGGGGACAAAGATGACTCCAAATGGAAGGACAAAGCTGAATATGTTTGCATAAGTGCCGACATCACCGTTGAACCTCAGAAGATCATCCACAGTCATGATGTAGTAGTTGGCACGAAGCATGTGCAGCGAAGTGAATATTAGAATCAATGAAAATTCTTTGGATTTCACTTGGTCCCATAATGACTTGATGTTGTTTGACTTATTGATATTTTCTGCCTTGGCTTGTTGAAAAGCGAGCTCTTCAAGGTCATGGTCGTCCTGGATATGTTGTTGTGTCTGATTACCAGTACCAGCTGATTCCTCCTCAATCACTTGCCTCCAATTCTTCCGTTCCAAAATGAACCAGCACATGGCAAGTGCCATGTACACTACGACACAGACACATGCCAGCACCAAGAACATGAATTTTCGTGACAACCCCCATCCCAAATTAAGTCTGTGAAAGATGAAAAAGACGATACTGGAAGCATCAAAGAAGCAGCTGTTGCATGCCAATAAACCGGTTTGATGAGATGGCAATAGAAACGACGCAGGGAATGCCCCCAACATGGTTAGATTGCCTCCCAACGCCATGAGGCCATACGCGAGCACAAAATAGTCAAAGGATTGACTATCTGAATAGGCAAACAATACCAGTCCAGCAATTTCCACCGTGGCGGCAATTGCGAAGTAGAGTGTTTTGGGGGCATGGTCGACAAACCACCCGACAAGAAGCGATGCAAAACTGAGCAGGAATTGTCCAACGGTAAACATGCCCTGCAAACGAATCACTTGTTGTGGGCAAATTCCATCCTCGCCGTTGGTTGGTTGGATGCATGTTTCGCTGTACTGGCCCTCCCGAACCAGCATGAGCTCTAATGAATACACAAGTGTAGTAATAAAGAACAAATATGGTCAGCAGAAAGAAAGAAACAACCAGAGCCAGTATGTACTAGTAGTAGCTGGCAGAGATAATAATGGTACCTACCCAATGGAGCCCACCCAAAGATAATGCCACTGTACAAGAACACTGATAGAAGACTAATCACATTCGTCACCCATCTCAAGTTCTGTGAAAGAGGACTTATCTCCTTCTTCCCGCTGGAGTCTGTGGATTCGTTAATGCTACCCAAGAGTGGCTGATTCTCCCCCAAAGGGTTGTCAATGTGTTTTCCCATTGTGCTGTGATATTAGTATTAGAAGTGTAAGGAGCTGCCACAGTAGTCTATTTGTGTTCAGCAGTGGAAGCCACTGTTGTGGCCAAATTCGCTGCCAAATCAAGGATTGAAGATTCGATTCAAGAATAGATGATCGACAAGGACGTTTCAGTGGCTTTCCCTGCCATTTATGTTATCGGAACATCTTGCTTGTAGCTTGCAAGTGCCTCGAAGGTGGCGGGCAGTTCTTGGCTTGCGGAAGAATGCAGCTGGCCCAAAAAGATCCATATGGATCGTCACTCGGCTACCATAATTGACAGCTAAATTGGCTTACAAAGAGTCCAACTCACGTGCGGCACGATGTTACCAGGTATGCACGAAAAGTGAAAGTGCCTTCGCGGCAAGCCAAGTGCGGCAAAAGTTAACTGTAAAATTTGGTACGTTAACTTCGAGCACCTCACTCAACAAAAATCCATCCGTTTGCTGCGCAAAGAACTCGGCCATGGACATCATGCATGGCATGACAACGACGGTATCAACAACAGAGCATCTTCATCGTTAGCAACGACTGCCAAAGACTGCGTACGGTAGCCGACACCCGGTTGGACCATGAGAGGTCTGGGCGGGACCTTCTTTTGGATACCCCTGATAGTCCTCCTGGTCTTGTCCCTCCCCGCCTCATCCGTCGCCGTATCACCTCTTCCTCCCGATTCCGCTTGGCTGCGGGGAGGTTCGAGTGCCACTCCCAACAATGATAACAAAGAGAAAGAAGCTATGGAACAAAGTAATAGGTTGCTGTCAAGGCAGTATCTTCCACTGTTTCGAAACACGGGTAGAACGAGACGCGTGGGAGAGGTAGAAAGAGCGCCAGAGTTAAGCATGTTCGAGGAAACTATAGAAGTGGGGGAGACAACGCTGGGGACAACCGAAGCCCATATCAACCTGGTGATTACTACAATACTCTCCTCAATGACAACCCCTTTCTGCAAACAAACGACGTACCTCAAAACAATCTACCGTATAGGCAGAACAACCCCAGACCATATTATGGCAACGGTGTCAAGGGAATCGGAACTGCCACCAAGTACCGTCCAATCTACGACCGACCAGCACAACCACAGCAAGTGTACATCCAACAAAAGACGGGCCCGAATACTGGTACTGTCGTTGTGAGTTATCAACACCATCACAAGAGACAAAAGTATCACCATAAGAGCAAGGGGAGCAAGGGCGGCAAGGGCGGCAAAGGAGGCAAAGGAGGCGTCGTGGAAAGGCGCCCCAGGAGAAGTTGTAGATCCAGAAAACGATCCAATGGAAGGAGAAAGGGATATCGGAACAACAACGAAAACAATCAATACACTACCTATTACTATGACGGAGACAGACGGCGGAAACAAAAGAAACGAAAACGGAAAGGATTCC